GTTTAGGGTTTAAAGTTTGGGGTTTCGGCCCTGGGTTTGGGCTTCAGGGTTTGGTCTTGCAGGAACCAAACGCGTATTGCTGACATTTGAGGTAAATCCTGACCCCCATCCAAGTCTAAAAAAATAGAGATCTTAGAGATGATCGGCTCAAGGCTTTCGGGTTGCGGCAGTGGTGTTCAGCCCGTTTCAAAACTTCGGGCACCAGAGGGGCTTATGGACGCAGCGCACGGGCTCGGGGAGCTCTGGAATTTCCCGTTTGATGTCTCCATGCTGCAATGTATGGGCCTGAATTGTTTATTCAGAATTGTATTCCTTGGGTTCCCCATCATAGTTGTAGAACTTAATTACCTCTAGATCAAGGGGAGGCACTAAAACCTAGATTGAGCCCTTGGCCCCTAAGACCCTCAAGCCCCAAAGCCCAGACCGCCTAAGCCCCAACGTAGAGTGACGCGTTGAAACAGTGTGTGGGCTTTCGGACAGATCAAGGACCTCTGCGGAGTGACGAGCTCTCCCGGCTAGAAGGCTACAGTACGGGATTACTATAAGAGAAGGTTTAGCATCGGAATAAAGCTACTGCGGGCTACTATAGGCTTACCATAGGAGTTACTTTCAGGGTCAGCAGCTAGCACCTAGGAAAGATCAGGAAGCCTGCATGCTAGAAGTGTGGTTCCGTCGGGAGGATAGAGAAGCAGAAGAAGGAGCTGACGAAGATCACGTGCGACAATACGTCGCTCATGGAACAGATTGTCAGCATGGGCAAGGGTCTCAGCTAGGGAGGTTTGTGTGACCTAAGGGGGTCCTAAGGGGGCTTCGGGCTTGTCGCTAAGCAGGATCCGAGGTTAGAGGTTCCAACGTGCGGGATTCGAGGGTGCAAGCGCTGCCCCCAAGGCTACTCGCAGATGCAGCTGGACGCAGCGCTAAATGCGAGAATAGCAAATGCAGCAGCCCCAGCGATGGTCTCCGACTCGCCGAGATGAGCAGTCACAGCAGAAACAGCACTTTGCGTGTCAGCATTGACCGCGCATGAGGTCACGGTGAACGACAATGAGCCGTTGAATGAACTTCGACGTATGGCAGCGTGCCTAGCGTTAAGGGACAGGATCAGTAAGCGCGGAACACAGCAGTATGAATGCGCATGAAACAGCCAGCCGCCCAGGAGCGCGAAAGATGCAAAGATCTTCTTGCGCTGCAGACGAAAGAGATAGCGACTTTGCAGGCCAGGCTGTCATGTAGTGAACCGTGCCACCAACTGAGAGCAACATGTGCTTTCCAGACATGTTCCGTGAAGTCCGGCGAACCTGTGATTTGCCAGGCAGAGATCAACCTCTTCCGAAAAAAGGGCGGGCACATTTACACTACCGCCGGAGCCCTGGAACCCACGCATCTGACCTTCATGGCCAGTGCGAGAGGGGCACCCGCAGTATCAGCATTCTACTGAGCTCAGCTTTCTCTGAAAGCTTTGTCAGACTGTTTGTGCTGTGAAGCAGCAGCATCTTCAACTGCAGCCTGAGGTCACAGCGAATCGAGCCTGAAATATTCTGGCCACTTGAGCTTGACAGTCGTGTTCAGTAAAGTACTACTGCAATACCAGGAATGCAGGCTTTCCACGTCTCGCATTGGAAGGTAGCCAGGTGTGCGTTAAATCTAGGTACATGATAAAGCAGGAACGAGAATGTTTCACCTTGAATCTTTGCTGCTTGTCCCGAAGAGCGTCAAGCGCTACAGGGGACGAGCTGCGGTAGGTCGCAGAGACCTGGCAGGAGTCTCACCTGCGGAGAGAATTCACCCAGTGTCCTACCTTGTCCTACCACATGGTCCACGGGACAGAGCCCGGCCTTCATGTTCTAAGTTGTGACGTGGGGCACGTGTGAGTCCGTAAAGCTGAGCGCGGCTCTTATCCAGTGCAGATCGGACGTGCAAGGTGCAGGAAACAAGTCAAACGAGCGTGCTGCTTTTAAAGGTAGTTGTGCCTTGTCGCGAAAAGCATCAGACTAATCCACGGTGTCATGCAAATCATACTGACATTGAACGTTTCGACGCTGGGGCTGGTGAGGAGACCTCTCCGTGCTGATGGTTTTCGCAAGGCATAGTAAACTAACTAGGTGCTAACTAGTTGCACAGTATGACAAGCTACGCATGTTACGGGCCTGACCAAAACAGTCATCGTCAAAGGTCGACGTAGAAGGCAGCAGGCAACACAATTTGATTTAGCACCACGTTCCAAATCCACCTTCCGCCCCCAGCCCCAGAGACTGTAATTTTCAGGGTCGAGGTTTTACTAAGCTGCCCGATCCGACACTGCGGCATTCAACGCCTGGTGCTCAGTTCGAGCATTCTTTTCGATAATTGGTTTCCTCGTCCGTCATACTAACCTGCATGGAAATCCTCAACCTTATGCAAGTACCCCTTATAATGACCCTTCTTCCATGCATTTGACTGGCTGTACTCAGCAGTTTTCGAAAACCCCAGGAGACGAAGCTGAAGAAGATTTTATGTATATATATATATATATGTGTATAAATATCATGTACTTTGCTGTGCTATACTTTGCTGTGCCGTACTGTACTGTGTTATACTCTACTACACTGCACCGTATTATATTGGACTAGACTCGACCCGACTCGACTGGACTGAACTAGACGGAACTAGGATGGGTAGGATAGAATAGGATAGGATGGGAGAGGATTGGATAGAATAGGATAGAATAAAATAATCTAGAGACGCGCACACACACATATACATATGTATATATATATATATATATATGTATATATATTTTTGCATATGTATATATGTATGTACACATATACACATGCACATGTACAAACACGTGTGTGTGTGTGTGTGTGTATATATATATATATCTATAGCCCACACTGTCAGCATCATCCACAGCAGCAGTGAGCCGAGGCAAAGCACCGTCCTGATGTCGCATACTGTGTCTCGCACCCAACAGCAGGCGCAAGCCTTGAGAAGTGCCATCAGCCAGCACTACCTGCTGTCTATCTGGTGTCCCGGTGTCCTGGGGGTTCCTCGCCGTTTCTTTCCTCTTGCGAGGTGTTTCGAGACCTGAAGATCGATGATGGCTTCTTCTCGCAGATGCTGCTTCCGATGGCGGAGGTGTGGCTTCCGCTTTTCAGGGCTGTGCTAAGATGGCCCTACAGAAAGTGTTCGGCTCAGCTTTGCGGAGCCGAGCAGGCGGAAGGTGACTTCGATGTCTACCTGATGGAGAAGGGCGTCAGCAACCCAGATGTCCAAAGAAAACCGGATCACTTCTGAGCGCTTCACAGCAGGTGATGCCTCTTCTGCTCCAGGGGCTCGATGCCCTCAGCAAGCCCCAGTCTCGGAGCTCTCGGAACAGCGGGAGGTAGCGCTTCTTCAACACTAAGAAGTGACTCCGAGCTCAGGCATGTGGACAAGGTCGCCCAAGGCACCACCATGGGCAGCAGCAAGCAGAAGTTCAATCCATTGGTCTGGTCCGGGACCTGAACCAGACGGATTTACGCTCTTGGTTTTCCTGAGCCTCCCATCTTGGAGGGCTCTGGACTTCACCGAAAAACCTGCGACCAAGGCTGGCGCAATACCTTCTTCGGAATCATCCTGGCCGCATCCACGACCATCGCACCGGGACGTGTCCTGGCCGGGTCTTGATCACGTTATTGATGGCTTCACCACGTAAGCGTTCGCTTGTGTAGCATGCTGAATGCATGGGTTCGGACTGTCTTAATCTCCTGGCCCCGAACTTGCCTGCTTCGGGGTTGGCTTGGCAGATTTCGCAACCACCACAGAGAGTGTGTTTCTGTCACTTTGCCTGTCCGCACGGCTGTGGAAGGCAACCGCTAAATCCTAGCCCTAATATTTTTAAACATCGGAGGAACAGAGGTGCAACAAAAACAAAAAGCAATACAAAGACTGTCTTTTGAGAATCACTGAACCCACGGAACCACTTCGGGGGCCCAGGTACGAGAAGATCCGAGAGCTCGCCGAGGCAGGGTCGTTTAGGGGTTAGGGTTTAGGCGTTTAGAGTATAGAGTGTAGGGGTTTCGGGACTTTTGGGCTGTAAGGTTTGGGGTTTAGGGCTCTACGGCTTTTGAGGTTGTTGAGGGCTTTAGGGTTTAGGGCTTCAGTGCTTTGAAGTTTGGAGTTTAGGGAATCGCGGTTAAGGGTTGAGGGTTAAGGCATGAGCGAAATGAATCATGGCTGTACTGATGATGATGTCGATTGAAGAAGTTCATATGTATGTACACATATGTGTACGACATAGATTAGATGCACAACACGCACACAGACTCACAATGTACATAATGTGTATATATCTGTATATATATATAATATGTATATATATATATATATAATATATACATATAATATATATATATATATACACACACACACATATATATATATATATATATATATCAGATGTACATATGCATATCAAAATTTTCCGTTTCTTCATAGTACCAGAAAAGCAAAAGACCCCCCCAGCAGAGCAACGACGTCTGGAAGGTGGAGCGCGGCCGGCGGAATCTCCTCCGAAAACAGGAGGAGTTCGAAACGGCCTGGACGGTTCTCGCAGAGGCGATGCGAGCACTTGCCTGGAGATTGACTTGAGAAAGATAAGAAGGGCTTCGGGCTCAGGGTTTAGGGTTCTGGGTTTAGGGCCATAAGGGATCATAAGGGCGACAAGAGCCTACTGCCGGAGCTTGGGTGGGCCACCAGGGTACGGTTTTCTCGATGTCTTGGGATTGAGTATTCTTGAAGGACCACGAGCACATGCCCATGGCGCAGACCCCGCGAGTGATCGAGGCGCTGCATAGTGGCATTGCCATGGTTTCAGGCAGTTCCGAAATCAGAGTTGGGCCGAGCCGCGCGAAGTAGCAGTATGAAGCTTGGCACGACGCTCACGCTTTTTGCCGTCTCCGAGAGATGTGAAAGCCTGCGTAAGTTCTCGAAGAAGCTAGACCTGCGGCATCTTTCGTGGTCTGCAGAAACTCGACGCTGCCTGGAAGCTTGAGGGTGAGTTCGTCAGGCCAGGCAGGGGTCCTCAGCTGGGGAAGTCCTGAAAACCGGCTTTCGACCGGAATACCACCTGATTGAACGACGCCTTCGGCAGAGTTCGGGGTGTTTGCGGAGGAGGGAAGGAGACGCAGCTTTCCACTTGTCCTCAGCCTTGGAGGCGCACGCAGCTGCCGGACTTCAAGGTTGAAGACCCAGAGAAGGCTCACTTGTCCTCGTAGTACAAAGCACTGCAGTAGCTAATAACGACGGAGTTATGGCCGTCGTCCTCGCCATCCTCGTCGTCGTACTAGGAGGACTACAGTCCTAGTGCTACTACTAGTAGGAGTGCTGCAAGCTGCTGCTACTGGCCGACTGCTACCACTACCACAATTGCTACCACTGCCACCACCACTACCCCTGCACTGCCACTAGCTGTCCTAGTGGAGCTCACTGTGATGAATCAGGGTCAGCACTGTGCAAAGCCTCTCGAGCTCTATGTGTCGCAAGACTCACATCTACAAGACCACTGCAGACATTCAAAACAAGACAAGTGTCGACAGCCTTGCTATGATAACACAGAGCTTGCTGTAGTTTCTCGTCAACGACAGAAAACCCAGACTGGCGCGAACACGCTGAACACCATTAGCAGTAGTAGTAGTAGTCGTCGTCGTCGTAGTAGTAGTAGTAGCAGCAGTAGTAGCAGTAGTAGCAGTAGCAGTAGCAGCAGTAGTAGTAGGACAGTTGCAAAACCGTGCAACGGCAAAAGCAGCAAAGATCACAATAGATAAGAGCTTAAGTACCCATGATACAAGGTAATAAGAGAGAGATATCAGAACATCCGAGTACGAACAGATCAAGCACGAGTAAGCTACAGGGAAGCAGGGACAAGCGTACTCCGTGGCATGTCATCAGCTATGCGAGCAGGTGACGTTCTCGGAGTTTTGGGAAAGCTTCGAGGCTTGAATCTTTGCGCTTTGCTGGCCTGGCTCTTTGGAGAACAATCACCAGAATAAGCATCACTGTCATTCTCACCCCTTCACTGTAGCCACAGCCCGCACCGCATCCTCGTCCTCGTTATCCTCGTCATACTGATCACCATCGTCACTATCGTCGCCACCATCACCAATGCAATCATCACCAGCATCACATGCATCACCAGCTCGAGCGGGAGGTGTGCAGAATCTGCTGGAGGTGTTGGTGCTGGTGGTGGTCGCCGTAGTATTTTCATTATTATTGTTATCATCATTGCTCTTATTATCATTCTTTTTGTTATTGTTAGTAGTAGTAGTAGTAGTAGTAGTAGTTGTTGTTGTTGTTGTTGTTGTTGTTGTTGTTGTTGTTGTTGTTGTTGTAGCAGTAGTAGTAGTAGCAGCAATGGCAGCACAACAGAAATCTCCACAACAGGAGCCATGATGATGGTCCTGGTCATGGTTTTCAGCATTGCCTCACCACCACCACTATCACTACAGTGTCATTGCAGACAAGATCATCGTCGCCATTTGCATCGTGACAACCATTTATATCATTGTCCATCATCGTCATCATCAGCTCATCATCAGCATCGTCATCATCATCATCATCATCATCATCATAATCAGCATCGTCATCATCATCATCATCATCGTCATCGTCATCGTCATCGTCACCATCACCATAATCATCATCAGAATCATAATCACCATCGCCATCATACCCACATGGTGACCGCCCCGACTGTGCGCATGGTCGTTTCCGTGATCATGTTACGAAAAGGAATCTGTTGACAATGAGCATGTGGACCCATGTAAGTCAGACAGCCAGCAAGGATTGCGACTCGGTCATGCTCGCAAATAATGCGATCAGGCTCTTGTCAAGAAGAACGACTTTCTTCGCATGTCGGCAGGGCCCCTGGCAGGGCTGAGTGCCATGTGTGTTCACTTCAGGCAAAGTCCTTACCCTAAAGAACTATGAGCACCAGCGACAGCAACAGCAATACTCGTGGCATAGTACCCTAACGCACAAACTTCAGACTGATAGGGCCAGTGAGGTGTTCGAAGATGCAGAGCGACGTCAGACTCGTGCCGCTAACGAGGCCCCTTGCACTTTGTGGCTCTGCAATGCCTAGACATTCTGTCCGACAGCTGCTCGTGCGTCAGCCGCAGTGTGGCCGGCGCAGTGGTTTGCTCTGACCCTGTCCTTGGAAAGCTGTCCTACGCTGCTTCTCCCTCCGTCACCATGTGCACCTGCCTGCCTTGCATGGGATGTTGCTGAGTCCCTGGGACTAGTCAGTGGGGTAAGCGGGGAAACCGACGTGCGATTTCAGGTGGAGGTATGCTGAGGTGGCATGTAGGTGAACACTGCTCTCTGTGGTTTCCCGCAGATGACGCGGATCGAAGGCACTTGCACACAAGATCACGCACGTATTTTTCAGTGTGTTCGCGGCGGGTAGGCCTAGAACAGCAGTGAGGCCGAAGGACAGAGTAAGCGCTGGAGGCCGCAGCCTGGTATTAGGGCATAGCCAGCAAAAAGGGCTTTGGGGCCAGCTTTGGGTCCCTGTACTTTCTAGGAGCATAGAAGAGAGCCGGTCTGCAGCATGTCGGATCCTCCGACGAAGAAGCCGCGACTGGGGGGCACCAAGGATCCCAGCGTGAAGATCCCAGAGGTGCCAAAGGGAAGGCTCATCCTGACACACATCGGCACGCTGGCCACGGGTGACGAAACCCTAGGTGACATTGATGATGCCGCCATCGTTATCAAAGAGAACATCATCGAATGGGTTGGGGAAACCAAAAAGCTTCCGAAAGAACTAGCGGATGCTGCTGATCGAGGCACCCGGGACTGCTCGCACATCCTGATTGCCACGGCTGGGTTCATCAACACACACCACCATTTCTATCAGACCATCACCCGGGGCGTCGCTCCAGCCAATGAGTTGTTTGGCTGGCTTACCACGCTCTACGGTATTTGGCAGTGCATGACGCCCTCGCAGCTCAAGGCCGCCTGTCAAGCAACAGCCTGCGAGCTCATTCTGTCCGGTTGCACGCTGGCCTCCGATCACGCGTATGTGTGGCCGAATGGATGCCGCCTCGACGATGAGATCGCCGCCGTGTTGGACACTGGATTGCGCTTTCACCCCGTCCGGGGATCCATGTCCCTGGGAAAATCCCAGGGGGGTCTACCACCCGATGAGTGTGTTGAGAAGGAAGACGAGATCATGGTGGAATGCCGTCGGCTCATTGAGACGTATCATGACACCTCTAAGTTCAGCATGCTCCGAATTGCTCTTGGACCGTGCTCGCCCTTTTCAGTTACCAAGGAGCTCATGCTAAAGTCCGCCAGGTTGGCTCGTGAATATGAGAAGGTCCTTCTCCACACACACCTCGCCGAAAACACCAACGACATTGATTTTTCTCTCTCAAAGTACGGTGAACGGCCCAACGAATTTATAGCCTCTGTGGAATGGGACCGCAGCGACTGCTGGTTTGCGCATGGTGTACAACTTAACGATGCAGACCTCAAAGTCTTTGCCGAGCGGCAATGTGGCGTAGCCCATTGTCCCAGTTCCAACCTGCGGTTGGCATCGGGCATTGCGCCCATCCGCAAGCTCTTGGACAGCAATGTGCCGGTGGGCTTAGCCTGTGACGGGTCAGCCTCCAATGATCACAGCAACTTGTTGTCCGAGGGCCGATTGGCCATGATGATTTCACGGGTCCGCGACTTCCGCCAAGCCACCAACGAAAAGGGAACTGATGCAGTACCCGGAGATCCCACCGCGCTCTCTCCCAAACAGGCCTTGTATTTGGCCACTGTAGGGGGTGCCCGTTGTCTTAATCGTGAGGATGAGCTCGGGAAGGTGGCACCTGGGTATGCAGCCGACATTGTGGGATGGAGCGACCACGGGGATTCTTCCACCGCCTTGTCCTTGGTGGGCTGTGCTCAAGATCCCCTATCGGGCCTTCTGGTTACGAGCCCAGCTAGCGTCACCTTTTCCATCATCAACGGTGACCCTGTGGTGTGGGATGGTAAGTTCATCAAGGTGAACCTAGCTGAAGTCATTGCGAATGCCAAGAAAGCATCTAAGGACCTCTTGGCCACCGCCGGATATACGCAACGTGCCACCAACTGACTGGAGCTGGTTGAAGACAAAGGTATAAGATGATATAAGCATTTCTCCTCGCCCAGTGACAAGGATGAGCTTGATTTAGGATCGTTCTTCCTAACCGGCTGGCGATGCCGGTTTGGTCCGCTGATGAAAAGTGCTGCTGGCCGCAAGCAGCGTGCTGGCGGCTTAGACTCAGACAACGAGGGGTGTCTTTCCCCGCCCTGCTATGGTTTCTGCTAAAAGAGTCCGCCGTTGCACACTTCAAGCAAACGTCCCGAGTCGTCTTTTTGGGCGTCGTCGCCGCTGTCATCGTCCTCGTCGCTGCCGCCGCCGTCGCCACCGACGGTGGGACAGTCGCCGTCATCGTCATCGTCATATTCGCAGTCATCGTCGTCGTCGTCGTCGTCGCAGCCGTCGTCGCCGTCGTGGTAGTGGGGGCGGTAACTGCCGGTGCTAGTGGTAGTTTGGTGGTGGACATGGCGGCGCGCGGCAGTAAAGGAGCTTCAATCGCGCCAGTTGTCGTGGTGATAGTATAGTCTCAGTACGCGTACAGTGGCAGCCGTGGAAGGGCAAGGAAGCTCTTAAGTTGTGCTTTGCTGTGCAGGCACAGCTCGCGAAGTACGAGCAGCAGCAGCGTGAAGCGTGCCTCTCCCAATATATTCGCAGTCACACGCAGTGAGAAGAGTTTACAGAGTGGCATGCGAAGACCGTAGTTCTTTCTGCGGTTGGTCTCATAGGAATGCGGCATCCGGACGCTACGCATTTCCCAGCAGTAAATCGCACGGCCTCGAGGCAAAGAACTCGGAAGAGCCAGGGTAGCAGTGTCAAGCGCCGTACCTGCGAATATGGCACCATCCACCGACCTTGAGCCAAGGTCCAGGTCCTTATACTTGAGTCCTTGAGTTCCCAGCCTGTACTCCGAAATCATCGAAGGCGTTGAGGAGAAATCCCGACCGATGCGAGAGCTGCCAAACCGAGGGCTGTGGAGGAGGAATTGCGGCAGCGGCGGCTTCTACAGGTCCGGACCCTCTTGGGGGGCCGGTGTGGTCGCACTTAGGGCTTTGAGTTTGATAAACTGAGGGTAAGAGCTTTGGGAGTAGGTTAGGCATTTTAGGGTTTAGGGTTTTATGGGTTTTGGGCTTTGAAGAGTCTGGGTTTGTTCTTTGGGGTTTAGGCGTTCGGGGTGCCTTGTGGTTTTGCGGTTTGGGTGCTAGGGTTTAGGAAGTTTCAGGTGGCTTTTTGTGTAAGGTGTGTAGAGCGCAGCCTCTTGCCGGAGCGCTGCCTTCGGTGAACGACTCGTCTTAGCGCACATGGCGGGAAACGTACGGAGGAGAGCATGCAACTTTCTATGCCGATTCGGCGCATCAGGGCGAAGACCGCTTGCCCGGCAGCTGGAAAGAGGAGAAAGACATGTCTGCCAAAGGAGGGTCCGAGGTTTGTCCGGCCACGGCCTGCAGTTGACGTCCTCTCGGCGCTGCAGAGGGTGTCATCGCTTTGGCTTCTCTGAAGGAGCACGCACGCCTCTTCCCGAGCGCCTACAGAAAGTCCCCACAACGCATTGAGTCAGGGTGAATTGCATGTCGGATGCTCGGAGGGATGTGGGGTCGGACAAATGTCTGACCAATCACGACTAACGTATTGCCCAGGTTGAACAGACGGGGGCCTCAAGGGATTAGTACCGTTCCAACCGCAGGGTGTCTCATCGATGCTTTGCTACAGTGGGCTTGCTACCAGTAGTGTCTGCCGTTTGGGTTTCCGTCTTGAACCGTCTAAACTTCAGGTTTGGGACGACAGTCGGTCTAGCAATTTCTTTCCATCGACCCAACAGCAGAAGACGCTCCCTCGAGGATCGTTTCGAGACGATATGTGCCGATGTTTACATCAACAGCGAGCTTCTCCAGATCATGAGCAAGGCAGGCGTTGGCAGGGGCTAATGTCGGGGCCTTAATAATTAGAATAGGGTTTTGGGGTCCATTATACTGTAACTATAGTAAGGAACCCCCCAAAGTGGGCCAATGTAGGCCAGGAGACTTACCAAGGCATCTTGAAGCTTCCAGCCGGCCTCAAGCACAAAGCATCCCAAGGCCACTGAGAGCCAGCCATAATTATGTGCATATGCGTAAATAAACAAATAAAGAAATATAAATATAAATATAAATAAGTTAAATAAATAAATATTAAATAAATAAATAGATACATAAATACATAAATATAAATAAATAAATAAATATATATATATATATATATACATATATATATATATATATATATTTATTTATTTATTTATTTATATATTATGTGCACACATAGGTATCAGGGCCTATTTGCAAGCCACATAACTTCCTGAGCCCTCCGTCAGGGCGCAGCCCTGGCAGCTCCAATGGATCTCAAGGATCCACGTTGCGCTTCAGGGCTTGGGCTCGTTGCGGGCTGCGATAGGTGTTCTATCAGGATTTGGGGTTGAGGTCCAAGTCTAGGTTCTAGGGTTTAGGGTTTAGAGTTTAGGGTGTAGGGGTTAGGGGCTAGGGGTTTAGGGTTCAGGGTTTAGGGATATGTCGTGATTTCGTTGATGGAGCACTGCCTAGTCCGACCTGCGCACGAGATTAAGTATCCTGGGATCTTCCCTACAATTCCATCAGACGACGTGGCGTTTTTCTGAAAAGTCGGCGTAGATCAAGTTTTGCGTCCCCACTCACAGTGCTTCGACACCAGCCCGGGCTCTAAAGCTGAATCTGCAGGGCGAGCACATTGTTCTGGTCCTGCAGCTTTTGCGCGCCTGGGGTTATCCAGTGCTCAATGACGACGGCGATCTTGTCGACCAGGACAGGAAGATTTGCAAGCAAGCTCGAGCAGTGAGTGGCTTGTGAGGTCGAAACCATTCGCAGCACCTGATATGCACTTGAGATAGTTCGAAGAGAACGGGGGGCAAGCTCCAAAGACTGCCAAGAGCCAACCGTAGAGTCTTGAAGGATCATTGGGATGCCCGGGCGCGCGAGGCATGCCAACGGTGGCGCCTGAACCACGGGCCCCCGTGCCTTGGATGTCAGTGGGGTGTTGGCACAAAGGGCTAGAAAAACACAGCGCAAAGTCTCAGTGCCAGGTGGACTTAACGTGGTAGCTATCGTAGCATGTCCGGGCTCAGAGTTTCGCGCGCTGACAGCACTTCAAGGTCAAAACATCCAGAGATTCTGGACTCCGAGGGGCTGAAGGCGGTTCACGGGGTTCTTTGTGTTTCCATGAGGTAGCAGCGGAACAAGGAGAGGCATTTCATGACAATGCCAGGCCCTGATTGACAAGGAGGCCTTCCAGGCCAGGCACACTGCAGCAGATTTAGATCATCCTGCATGCTGCATACCGATTGTGCAAAGCGTGCAAACCCTTGTGGGCGAATGTGCCTGCATGACTCTGCGCCAGAGCTCCCCTTGCCCGTTCACTAGGACACTCTTCCTGGACACAATCGGAGCGAAAAGACGCACGACCTACAACCTGAACTGCGATGCAATCACGAAATCTAAGACTGTGTCCCGAGCGCAGTGTCGGCTTAGACAGGGGTTGCTGACAGTCGTCGTTGTGAAATAGCCATAAGTATAGCAGCGAGAACGTTGACGTCGAGGGGTCCTACGGGCCTCACGCTGGGGTGCCCTAAGTCACAGCAGATCTGCCCTTGGTGTCAGGCCCACCGGATGGGCCACAAGGCCACGAAGTTCAGGGTGTTTTGGGGAATTCCAGTGTGCAACTTCAGTACTATGTCACTATGGCCTTCCAGAAGGTTGTGATCAGTGGTGATGAGCATGGCGGTGGTGATGGTGACTCAGATGGATTGGTATGGCTGTGTTGATGCTGATCCTGTACGCGTCGTGGTGTTTTAATGCCCAGTCATAAGTAGACCTGGCGAATATGAGTATTCATCCCTGTTGCGACATTCTTATGGATACCACAGCTGGTGCCATCCGGTGCCCATCAGCCCTATCCTCGAGAACATACCATGTGCAGGTCTCTTCAGAGCCACGCCCCCAGCTGCAAAGCTGACCGACTTTGTGGCGGCGTTTTCTCGCAGGAGAGGCAGAAGGAACGAGAGAGAGAGAGAGAGAGAGACAGAGAGAGAAAAAGAAAGAGAGCGGGAGATGGGGTAGCTGACAGGCGCTCCTGAAGCCAGACTGAGTAGTGCTTATCTGGGTCGACACCTGCATGATCCTGCAGGGTTGCAGCATGACCTGGCTGCATGGGGCCCAAAGAGCTGGAAGACTACGTGGGGGAGGCATCTGTGCCTCATCTCTCACTGTAGTCTACTTGGAGGATCATGAGACTTAGTAAGTAAGGTTATAAGTACCCTAATTGGGGTTATAATTATAGTTACCCTATTTATAACCCTAGTTACTAAGTCCCATGATCCTCCAAGTAACGCAGACTCCGGGCATGGCGGCACGGGGAAGGCGAGAGCTGAGGCTTTCCCTTGAAGTGGAAGAAGAGGAAGTCGGAGAGGCCTTGGTTTTTACCGTGCTCAACGCGAAAAGATACCTCTGTAGGCTAAAACTTGAGACACGGAGCCCTCCCTCCTTCCTTCCTTCCTTCCTTCCTTCCTTCCTTCCTCCGGAAGAGAGATCCTGTGTTGCTGGGACGCAGAGCCGGCGGTGCAGTGCTGGTCCAAGTGGCGTGGGCAGGGGCGTGAAGAGCAACCTCCGGTGCTCCACCCCGAAGCAGACAAACAGGAAAAGGGTGCTGAAGCCTGTGGAAAGGGTTGTGGCGCGGGCGATCCGGTGAGAACTGACCTCTTCGGCTGGTGTTGGTGTCACATCGATGCGAGCTTAATCCCCTCAAGCATGCCGAAACAGCAGGCGCGTCGATGCGTGCGGAGGGCGGGAGTGATTTTCGGGCTCTTTCTGCCTTGCGGATAGCCTTGTCGCAATGATTGCTTGTTCGTGTGCGTTCTGTTCCAGCTTCACGTACGGCTGCCCAAGGCATCCCGCCGACACAAGTCAGGAAGACTCGGTGCCTCCGCCACCACCGCCGCCACCTCCCACTGATTCCTGAGGACGGCTTTAGTCTCACAAGCTAGCACCACTCGGTGTCCACTAGTTTTGCATGCTCGTTTCAAGTCCATTTTCCCACCGCATGGCCAGTTGTCGCATGATCTTTCCGCCCAAAATCTATCATGACTTTCAACACACATCAAGTGGCCATGTGCCTGGGCTCGACATAGTGCAAACACTGCACGCGAGCATGTCAGTCAGAACGGGTAACCCTGGATGCCAGCATGGAGCACACAAGGCGGACACAGGATTCCGCTGTTTCAAGTTTCAGCTCCTGAAACCCTAAACTCTCACAAAAACCTGAACCCTGAACCCCTAAACCCAACCGCTCGTCTGTGTGTGCCAAGTCCCTTGCTTAGCAGCAGCTCTCTGAGCAGAGCCTAGCCCGAGAATGAAATGCGGCTTGGTATGCTGACTTAGCTGCTTTCAACATGGAGTACCTATTGGACAAGGGGTGATAGTCAGATGCGCAGACAACATAATGTGCCTCGGCAATCGAGAGAAGCAGGAACAGTGTGGTATCTGTACCTTACGAGCTGACTGGCGAGTAGGCCCTGACTTGTGCAGCAGACTAGATGAACCTCTACTGTTCCCTATAGGCATCCCATTTGAAGTGCCATTGGAGAAGCAGCCATGTCGCTGGCGGTGGTGGTTGGCCAAAGGCTGGTACAACGTGGTAGATGAATCCCTCGGCCAGATTGGCGGTTGTCATCCATGCCAGGATTGCGAAGCACCACCAGATTCTTACGAGCGCTTTGTTCGTTGCTGCCCTCATCGTGGTGGCCATCTTTCCTAGCTTTGATCGCAGGACCACAGGGAGGGTTTGGCATGGCATTTCCGTCCTCTAGTCTAGATGCGTGGTCCGGAAAGAGATCGTCTGGACGCTTTCCTGCTGCCAGGACGGAAGTCGAGGAGTCTGAGCAGAGATGCAAGCAGGTCTATGTACATACGCTTACACAAGTTCTGCTTACAGTTGGAAGAACCCACCAACTGAGGGTCGGCATATGAGTCCCTGACACTACCCATACCTCGCAACTCTGTCTCGGTACGAGAAGGTCGACTGATGCTACGCACAGGAATAATCTTAGTCCTTCGCGATTCAGGCTTCATCACTCTGTTCTCCATGCCAACAGGAGCATGGCCTAATTCCGGGCTACGCGACCAATGGCCTGGACGCACGATGGCAGGCAAGTGGAGCCCGAAACGGTGCCTGGGTTCAGGCCATAGAGAAGTTGAGTCGAGCTGCCTCGGGAGGTGCGCTGTATTTTATTTGGGTTCTTTCATGGCTTTGACCAGGTTTGCAACTGTCCCGAACCTTAGCAGGCGAGGGTGTCGTTCGGTTTAAGCATGCGTAGCTTAGTTTGCACTCCGTCGTTCTGGCACAGCATGTCGCCCGTGCAGGCTCGGCTGCGCGAGTGCATTGCGCAGATCGAGGCCACACGCCGGATGTGGCCTCGCAGAGCACCAAACATACCATAACCACAAGACAGCCGCTGTTCTTGGATCAGTCTTGTCCTGCATCCGGCGGCTGCGCTGCCATCAGACGTGGTGGCCAGTTTACTCGGGGTTAGCTGCAACCTTGAGCGCATCGCTTTGCATCGGCATAGGGGATGCCATGAGGTAATCAGGAGAAACGAAACGGGCAGCAGCAGTTCGGTGATTGGTGCGAGGAACATTGAGAGATCATTTAAGACTTCCACGAGTCGAGCACTGCCCAGTGCTACAGATCGCAACCTTGACTCTGTGGCACGGTTGCCTGTCCCGAGCCATGCAGGCTGAAACCGACATTCGCACCGCAATCGAGGTGTCCTTACAGAAGGCGCGTGCTTGAGGGCTTCTGGATTGGGGCCGGGTTGTCACACCGCTCTGCTCTAAGCCCATCTGCAGCCCTTGCTTGCAGAGCAGTGACCTGCGGCTGCGTCCAAAAGCTCGGGGCTCCGGGCCGCAAGCCAGCTGCACAACCTCGTACTTGTAGCTTGGAGAAGGCCTCAGTGCGTTTCTTGAGTGCTTCGGTCTTCCTTGATCCCAGTATCCGGAATGCGATTCCCAGAGCGTAAGAGACACGAGAAAGTCTCTGCAGTAGGGAAGGCGTCTCCGTGCCTCCAGGCAGGGCTGCAGCCCTATCACATGAACTTCTCACTTCCGGAGGGGGGGCAAAGTTCCCTCCTGTGCCGTCCTCAGGGCACTTCAGGGCTTCCGGTGGTGCACTACTCTTCTTGGCGATAGTGACGATAGTATTACTGTTTTTTTATTTTTGTCGCGGCGTAGAACCTCTCCTGAAGAGACCCAGCTGAGCAGTATATAGGACAAGTACTTCTTTGTGCCAGTGATCGGTCCTACCATTCCACGAAGTCAGAAGCAGAGCGCAGACTCGTGTTTGGAGGTACACCGTTGCTGAGTCGCGGCGTGGCGACTCACGGGAATCACTCGTGCTGGCCGTGCTCTAAGGGCTCCGGGGTGTTCTGCTGCGGGCACGACTCCTCCGCGCTCTTGTCTTCTATCCGCTTACGTTATAGTGCAAGTTGAAATTGCTACTGCTGCTCGTGCTACTGCTGATTCTCGGTGTCCTTGTCGAACAGGTATATAGTCAACGTCGTTGTGGTCGTACTCCTTGTTGCTGTTGCTATTACGACAACAGACAACAGCAGCGACAGCAACAACAACAGCTGCCGCTACTGCCGCCGCTATCGCTATCGCTATTGTGCCACTACTGTTCTGCTGCTGTTGCTGGTGGTTGTGGTAGTGCTGCTGCTGCTGCTGCTGCTGCTGCTGCTGCTGCTGCTGCTTCTACAGGACTGCTGCTACTGCTCCTGCTGCTTCTGCTGCTCCTGCTCCTGCTCCTGCTCCTGCTGCTGCTCCTGCTCCTGCTCCTGCTGCTGCTGCTGCTGTTGCTGCTGCTGCTACTACTGCTACTACAGCTTCGACTGCTAGACAACGACCACGAATACTAGT